AGGTGTATAAGCCGCACCCTTTTTGCTCTAAACGCGAGCAGACCCAGGCGTGCCGCCGCGCGTATGCCTCGCAAAGCGGTCAACTTATCACATACTGCTCTCACTTAACGCGCTCCATGATGACAGTCAGTCTTTTGGCGTGTTCGCTTTTAGAGCAAAAAGGGTGCGGCTTATACACCTGAAAATAGGGTAGTTAGCGTCTCCTCTAGCCTTATCAGTTCATTACAAATATTATGCCGAGATTTGTCAATCAAGGTTTCCAACTGATATCTTAGGTGTAGTTCTTGATAGTAGTGATAAAGGGTATGAAACGTATCTCCTTCATGTTTAAAGTAGTAAGATCATGTAAGCTTAGCAGATTTTATTGTGTCGATATGTCCACGCTATTCTAATTTGCTTTCATTTTTTAAGGACGTGCTGGATTCAACAGGAATGGGGCTTAACCGAGCGCGGGTACTTCTACGAATAATGACACCGACATGATGTATTCATTTTCCACTATGTCGTGCCTAAGGTCTCTCGAACGAATACATGTATCTAATCTCACATTCAAAACCCATTACATTAGGCTGATATTGTCAACCTCCATTTCAACCGCGCTAAGATACATTCGTGTGTTCTCCATTTCTGTCCATTTCTGTCACCAGAGCTAATCTATGTCTTCTCTGTCTATCTCTAATACCGTATAAACTCGTCACACACCCAGGTTCTCTCCTCTATCTGCGCTTTGTGATCATAGTCTTGTTAGCGTTACTGAAGCTGTCTCACTCATGCATCCGTGTATCTAGTATCTGCTTGAATGAGTTCGGTTACGAGTTTTCTTTTATCTCCATAATGTTTGTTGTGCATCACTTTTCTTCCGTAATATCATAACGTAATCATCTTGTAATAGGAGATTAGAACTAACGCATGTGCTTACATTATTAGAATAATTCTGATCTTATTAATCGATGTTCAGTTGTGATAAACAACTGAAACGTACCTTCACCTGGCTCAACTATTTGAACTTGCTCTTCGTAATTGCTTTTAATGAAGGTTTGAATGACGATCCTGCACACTGTGCATCAGAGTACTTTTTATCCCCTAATGCTTTACAATGCAGAATTCCATTTGGTCAACCTTTACAGCTATGGGTTGTTCCATACTGCCATCAGCTGAACGCTAACAAGGGAACGATACTCGGTGTCCGTGGTCTTTTGAAATGATATGTATACCATTACACTCGCCTTCGAACGCTGATTCCGAATCTGACTTCCGTTTCTGCTAATCGCTTCAAAGATGTTATGAGGATCGCGCGGAGTTTGGATACCCAGTGTAGGTTCGAATCCCTTTGTGTTTTTCAGTTTTGCATTGCCTCAGTTAACCTTCTTTCGCATCCTCGAGCTAAGTGAACGCCCTTACTCTTAAAAAATGTGCAAATTTGGAATAAATGACTACTGTTTGCGCTGGACCCCCCCCCCCCCCTCCCTCTCGACCCCTGAAGTGGCGTGCCACACCCCACGCCTCACCCTGCTAACACAGTAGGAATAGGGAATTGGCAAAAAGTGTAGAAGTGCGCACAGGAAATGTACCATGATAGGGATGGGACCTATCATAGTCTTTTGACAGGGTCGAGCGCAGTCGAGTAAGCCAGCTACTACTGTATGATAACTTAGCGGTGATTGGCGCTATTCCAGTATCCGGGCCCCAAAATTTTTTTCACATGGATTTCGCTGAAACTTGGTCCAGAGGGGTTATTCGGCCCATTGATGCCAAATATCACATTGTGTACCGTAGCGTCATTTTCTCGGGTTACGGTAGGCACACGGTAACGGGTGGAAAACATAGTTCTGCCTGAATCGGGTGTACGGCGATTCGGATGATCGCGAAGTTTTGCACACACGACCAGCGCCGCGCTACACATCCTACCTCGACTTTTGCCTGAGCGAACCACAGGGGAAAGATACATTTGCCGATTTGTGATTTTACCCTTACCGCAAACTTACCGTAACCATGCATGGAGATGATTTCGTGCGGAGAAAGCGTGGAATTTCCAGTCAGCATGTCGAATAACCCCTCTGTGCGAAGTTAAGCGAATTTCGAGATTTTGAAACTGTACCGTATACCCACAACCCGAGGAAGTGACGCTACGGTACAAAACCAATGTGATATTCGGCGTCAGCGGGCTAAATAACCCCCTGGGTCAAGTTTCAGCGCTCTGGAATTTTGACCCCTACCGTAATCCTAGCGTAACTCCGCCGGAAACTCAGAAAATCTATTGTCAACCATCAACATCTCAATACATCCACTGACACTGCCTTTAGATTACATACCAACTCAGCTAGAGTATCTATGACAACTCAAGTAGGGTCCATGTCGTGAAGTCTTTAACAGCATAGCCACGAAATGCCAACAGACAGTTTGAAAGAGTGTGACTACTTAGTCAAACTTTCAACATACGAAACCTTTTCCGAACACTGTTGCCCTGTCTTAAAGTGAATACCTAAAAGTGACATGTATGACTTTCTGTAATCTTCTGGCATTCAAATGCTTTACGATTCCCATATGCAGCATGCACGCTTTCATCTGGGGCACAGCATACGCATTCTTCATTTCCTTTGCATGTAATCGAATGCCCATGAGAAAACTGTCATCTGTCTCTTCACAAAAAGATAAATACTATGTCAAAAAATTTCGTGCAGAAAGGCATGTTCTCAAGCAATCTTTCATTGCTGCAAAATCAGTAACGCGACCGTCTACACAACCTGCGATGGTGGATACAATGGAAAGTCATCGATTTCATCAAGCACGAACTCATCAAGACCCCACAGACACTCTAAATTGTACCTCTGGCGAGATTCTTCATCCAAGACATGGACCTGTAATGAGTAAACCATGATATCAAAGGGTTTAAATCTAGTGACCACCTGCATGTTCCCCAGCTCAATTTGGAACCAGCCGAAATTCCTGCGTACACTGCACTTTCTAGTCTAAACAGGCAAGTATCCGGAGAGGTAGGTTTCTGCTGACGATGTACTCTAACAACAGATCCCACCTAACTTCTGATTCAACGGGGTTGGCGGCTGGAAGGCGACCGCTCGCACCCGCGACGCAGTTTGCGTCTCTCTCGCGAGCTTGCTCTCTGATCATTCCTTGACCTTGATTAGGCCTAGATGCCCTGCCTTCCAGCCGCCAATCCCGTTGAATCAAAGGGTATACATATATGTAACTCACACAAGGTCATCCTATATGATACTAAAATGGAATGGTAGCTGAACAAAGCGACAAAGCGACAACAAAGCGACTTCTCAATGAACGCAAAACTTTATGAAGATCACCTGCAGTTCCGTCATCTTCCCAGCTTTTCTGAGCATATCCGCAATAGCAGCGCCATGCTTTGCATTGAAGGGACTACATATGACCTAAATTGGAACGTAGCACCCCTGAGTCACTGTGTGCATCGCAACCAGCGAGTGTTGGTATTTTCAAAATTTAGCATAAAATAAAACAACTCACTAAACACTAAATCAATGTGATGGATCACTTTCGGGTGTATGCCGTTCTGCACCACTTCCTTTTAGCACTAATCATTCTGCCCCGCAGTGGCGCTAGTTACTCCGCCTTTCTTGTGGCCGAGTTTTAAATCATTCAGAGTATCAAAGCGAGCGTGCAAATTTTCAACAATAATGGAGATAATGTTTCACCTAGGAAGATAAGGTTGAGTTACTCCTTATTTCTTAACTTCCTTTTCCGAGTTCTCTCAACCACCGTAAAATCATGTTCAACCTAAAAACTTACATAAGCCACCTAGGTGAGGACCGGCACGCCGCCCCTCATAATCGGCTCAGCACGCGCCGCCGTCCGCTCGCGGTGCACCCTCACCGTTCGGGCGCTCTTCAGCGCCTAGTCGCAAGGATGCCAGACTACTTAGGTAACATGGTGATTCACATAAGTTTTCACCTACTTTATCACTCTAAAATTACCTAACAAGGGAATGATCAGAAGTCGAAGTGGCCAATCCAAATAAGCTATATACCATTCGATGCAACATAGAACGCTGATTTCAAATCTGCTTTCCTTATCTGCAGAGCGCCTTTGTAGGCAAAGTTATGAGCAGCTTTACTGCGAAAAAACCGTATACAAAAATTGCGAAATTAGGCACATTATTGCTGTTTCAGCTCACATCTAGTTACGGGTCATATAAACTGACCTAGTTGCATGTTTTGGTCCAACACTGAGCCGAGAATGGCTGTGTACGGCCAAGTTTGCATTTTACGTGCACAATTTCTTAGCAAAATGATGGCCTTCAACGGCTTATAATTTCGTCCACAAAAGCGCTCTGCAGATAAGGAAGACAGATTTAGAGTCAGCATTTTATACTGCATTCAATGGTATGCAGCTTGTATGGATTGGACACTTCGACTTCTGACCATTTCCTTGTAAGCTAGTTGGAGTAGGAGATAACCCTAAAGCTGACTGAGCTCAAGTATATTAGGTTGTCCGGAAAATAACGTCGCATGGTATCCTACCGCGACAGAATAACCACAGAAAACAGCGAATGGGGTATCATTTGATAAACAAAGCATGCTCTACAAGATAGTCTAAAAACCTCCGCGGAAATCGTGCTCCATCTGAAGTTCAAATCCAAAATATAAAATTTTTTAGATATCCGGAAAATCGTATCTCCGTTCATAGAAGTCTTATGACTCTCCATTTTGCACAGGCATGTACTCTCTAACTAGACTTCATTTATATAGTTTGTGGTATTTTTCCATGGCTACAGTTCGAGAAATAAAAATAAGTCAAAAGTGCGAATATGTCACGTTTTTCGGGTTTTTTTGCGAACAATTCGATTTTTCTCGAAAACTCATGGTTACACTCCTAAAGGTTCATACTACAGAGTCACCCATGTGAGAGAAGCTCAGGATTGCTTTGGCAAAAATATGCCGAATTTCGTTGTCTCAGTTTTCAACCATGGAAAAACCGCGAAAATGTGCACACGAGTGTCTCGTAAAGTGTGTACATGCGTGAGCAAGTTAGGGGCTCCCAGGGCTTTTCTGAACGGAGATACGATTTTTCGTTTTTTCAGATGATTAGTGCCTTATTGAATTTGGCTCCGAACTTCACGCACATCAAACTTGGCGCGAAGTTTCGAGATTTATTTTGTAGAGCTTACTCTGATCTATCGGTTGATACCCCATTTACTTACTTTCGTGCCCATCCTGCTGCGACATTGCATGTTAAAACACGATGCGACATTATTTTCCGGACAACCTAATACATGTTATAGGAGAAAGCGATAGTCATAATCAACATTCAAACAAACGGAGATGGGTACATTATAGATGAAATTAAATTGAGTATCCACACCATGCCTGGGGCAGAAATGGCGCAACACACAATCATGTCGCAGAAGGCAGACTCATATAGCTCCACCACAAACTTCCACTTCGCATCGCTTTGTTAGCCTCTTCAATTCAATGGAGCACAAATTGGTGATAAGCCCATAATGCCAGGTGACTGAAGCCCAATGGACACGCCAGAAATCCTCTAACAAATCTATCAGCGCTAAGAAAAACTACCCCAAAGGTTAAGTGTATGCGACACTGTTGTTCATTACCCGGCTCATGCCTAAAAGCCACCTTTGGAGACAATCAAAGGCAGCGTCCAGGCAGATCTGGACCTATGGGGATTTTACGTGGAAAGTACTTTTGGGGCCCTAACTAAGGCACTGCCAAAGCAAATAGTGCTTTAGCGGCTGAGATATTCCCCTCGAAACTGGACCCCGCGATCGTATTCGCATGGATTCGTGGCACAAAGGATCCTGGCGCGAAACTGCCATAAATCCATGTGAATACGATCGCGGGGTCCAGTTTCGAGGGGAATATCTCAGCCGTTAGAGCACTACCTGAGCTGCCGCTTGGGCAGTGGCACAGTTAGGACCCCAAATCCCCATGTGTCCCAGACTTGTCCGAACACTGCCTTTAAGATTACGCTCAGGTTAGTACAGTCTGTGTCAATCACATGCTCCCTTTTCCGTAAGCGCAATGAGCTCCGCGCCATGTTCACGTACGCATTTAAATGGGCCTCATAGTTGGAGGTCCGCACGCAGGGCCTTGCGTTGCGCATGCGTAGTTCCCATGCGGAAGGGAGTACGTAATTGACATTGCCTATATTAAGTAGCGCCAGAAACTTAATTTTCATTAAATAGTGAATAACTTACCGAATTTTTGAGTCCGAAATTGATGCCGCATCTTCCTAACGGAGCAAAAGATATGGATCTGAACAACATTCTTCACCTCTATCTGATCAATAAAATACCCATATTTTTCTGGTGTGCGAGACATGGTGTTCCAATCGCACTGCGCAAGAAAAGTTATACTCTAAAGCCTCATCGAAGTTTTCAATCATTTCTTCTTTTTTGAAGGAGTGGACATAAAGCTTTTGCCCCGAATGGACTCATACTGAATTATATTACCTGGAAACCATTACTTGACGTGCCTATTCTCACTATTTACTGGATCCATGGTCTTTTTGGATGGCAAACGTTATCCCTTCTATTTCCGATTTGATACTCATAAACGGCAAATTCGCTCTTTTATTTCAACAAAATTCCATTTGGTGCCCGGAGATCTCCACTGTCGCGATGTCATTCCGCAATCACTTTGTTTGGTGAACTGCTTTGCCAAACGAAGTAAGAATGAAATTACACCGAGAAGAATTGAGAGGCACCATTCCCCTTTGAAAACTTAGAACCGTTGACGGTAGGACAGCTTCGCCATGCGTACTGAAACGACTGGTACGAGAGCACCGTCGCCTAAGAGCCCGTAAGGTGCTGAGCTAAATATGAAAAGAGGGCAGGCCTGTCCTCCCCACGTTTCTTTCAATTTCATGTAAATCTCAAGATCTTCTTTTTTCTCTCTTCCGAAAAAGTGCTTTTACGTAATTCGTCAGCGCTTGCGTCTCTAGCGACAGCCTAGCTCTCTCGCGGCAACGCCGACCAATCATAGAAGCGCAGTGATTAGGTCGCTAAGGCTAGTGGTGCGGAAGGGCAGTCTCCCAATGTGATGGATCACTTTCGTAAGTGCAAGCCGTGTAAGCCGTGTAATAGCAACATTTCCGCGCATTGCAAGGGCAAAGATACTTACTTAGATACTCAGATGGCCCGTCTTCACGTGGCCTGCGGGCCTCAGCACAAAAGTAGTTGCCATTTGTCCCTGTCCCTCGCTTCAGACATCCATGATCTTCTTGGTTGTCGTCGATGGCTGCATCCACGAATTCCAGGTGCGCAAATCGCATCCAGCTGATTTCTCAGCTGGTCCATCCGTTCCACGAACACGTCCGCCCATCTCGTCGGTGATCTTCCTCGGGCGATTGGCTTCGCTAAAAATCCACTCAGATGTTCTTAGTGTCCATCTGTCGTCTGTTCTTCTCATAATGTGACCGGCCCATCGGTGTTTCGCTTTCGCAATGTATTCCGCTGGATCACGAAGACGGGACATTCTTCTCAAATCCGTACTGCGAAGTCCGACTAGATGTTGCTTTCGTCGGGTCATCTCCAAATGCGCTCGGCTCTAGGGGGGGGGGGGGGGTGGAGGACTATATGTCGCCGAATTTGGAAGAGTCCCGCGCGGATTCCCTGCAGGAACGCATGTCCGCGCATGTACAAGTATGCGTATTTGTCGCAAATGACCGCGGGGACCGCCCTTTTTCGGCGACATATAGTCCTCTACCCGGGGGGGGGGGGTCCGTAAAGCTTTCGACGTGGCTACAATGTCGGCCCAAGTCTCAGATGCGTAACAGAGCGCCAGGAGAACGGTTGCATCGAACAGCTGGGCACGAAGCTCCGGGTCCGTCAGTTGGTCGGTGGCTTCCTTCAAAGGCCCGAAGGCGGCTCAGACTGCTCTTCTTCTCCTGTTAAGTTCTTCCCTCAAGTCCTTCTCCATGTTCATCGAACGTCCGAAATACACGTAAGAAGACGTCTCCATAATCGCGGTGCCTTCCAATTCCATTTCTGCATCTTCGCAAAGCGAGTTCCTCATGAACTGAGTCTTCTTTCGATTTATGCACAATCCGATCTTCTTCCCTACTTCGTTTAGTTCCTTCAGCATCGTCTCTGCTTCAGTGATACTGCTTAAAAAGGGAACGAGGTCGTCCGCAAATGAGGGTTCGACGGGGATATTTCATTAACTCATATGCTCCTCTCTTTCCAGTCGTCAGCGATCTTATCACTAACTGCAAGGCCGCGGTGAACAGCTTCGGTGAGATTGTGCCGCCTTGTCCAACCCCTTTCCGATTGGGATGGTCAGGGGGCGATGAAACAGCTACATCGTCGTTGTACAGTCCTTGTAGCAGTAGGATGACGTCCTCACGTATGTTGGGTACTCATTGATCGACTAGCGCTGACAGGGTGGCGCTGGTTTCCACGCTGTCAACTTTCTCGTAGTCGACGAAGATTAGGACGCAGTCGATATTCCCGCCAAACTGCTATGACCCTCGAAATCGTCTGGATGTGGTCCATGCAACTGAATCCCTTGCGGAATCCAGCTAGTTCTTGAAGCTGAGCTTCATCCAGTGTCCTAGATATGCGAGCGAGGTAATCTCCGTGAAAAGTTTGTAGAGCACACTCAGCAGGCATATTGGACGGAGTTTCAAAAATCCTCCCGTCCCCCTTCTTGAAGAGAAGGACGGTTCTCGACGTTCTCCACTGATCGGGAATCTTCTCCTTCTGAAGGTAAGATGTCAGGTGCGACGCAAGGATCTCGTGTAGACGTTGTCCTCCGGCTCGCAGAAGTCCGAAGAACATCTTTCAAACCTGCGAGCTGCTGCCTTTTGAAAGATGATTTGGTCCTGGAGCCGTGGACGTTTTCATGGTCTGCATGCAATACGCACTTCAGCAGGTAGAATCCTTGGTGGTACTTCTCCAGTGGGAACAACGGGTGTTGATGAGCGGAAGAAGTTGGTGTAGAAGTTCTTCGCGTTAGATTCCATCTTGTAACGGGAAGAAGTCGGAGTCCCGTCTTGTTCAGTAATGCAGCGGTACCTAATATTCACAGAGGTACCTTCGGCACTTCTTGAGACTTCGTCCTCCTTCAGCTGCTTCCAGTATCTTGGCTTACCTGTACTTCCTGAGATCCTGCTGCAAAGCTGTTCTGCAACTGGCGTTGGCTATCAGTCGCTCGAGATGAGCTGAATTCGGATCCTGCCTCTGTAATCTTCTCCTTTTGGGCAACTCCTTGGTGGTCTTCGAGATGCGATCCAAGTTCTTATCAGAAGTCACTTAGGCGCACTCTCTCCAGGCTCGCAGTCCTTTCAAAAGTAGTCGTACGTTGGATTCACCTCAGTGGGCCAGTCACAACTTAATATGAGCTCTTCCAGCCTGTTACCGTCATAAACGACTTCTTTCCTTCTCGCGGCACTGTGACAGACTTTCTTTTCCAGCCTTCGGCTGAGTCGTATCTTCGCTCGAAGGAGGCGGTGATCGGAGCCGAAGTATGGAACTACTGAGACATCGAGCAAGCTCCACCTTCGGTTTTTGAGAATGTGATCGATCTCCGCATGAGTCGTTCCGTTGGGCGATTCCCAAGTCCACCGGCGATGTTTTTTCTTCATGAAGATGGAATTTCCATGGAAAAGTCGTGCGGCGGAGAGAAGCCCAACAAAACGGTTGCCGTTTTCGTTCCGGAGCCCATATCCAAATTTCCCGATCCTATATCCTCCCAGTAGCATCCCGATCTTCGCGTTGAAGTCGCCCAAAACGAACTTGTATAGACTTCTCGTTGCGGACGACCTGCTCCACGTCTTCGTAGCATCTAATTCTGAGTCGTCAGCTGCTGATGTTGGTGAGTAGCAGTTGACAATGCTGATGGTCTTCTGACGTGGAGGTCGCGTCGTAGGATGGCTAGTGCTGGTCGAGGTGGTAGGATCTCATGCGAATCGACAAGATAGACGATAGATGGTTGGACGACAAAGCCGATGCCTCCATCGTTTCGTGACGAAACCTTCTCACCACGAATAATGAGTGCCATCACTCATCTGTCTCACGTCCTTCTTCCTGGACTTCGTTTCCTGCAGAGCGATAAGGTGATACTTGATGTGCTCTGCAACGTCGAGAAGAGCGTGGAGGTCGGTGTTTTGGAGACTGTCCTGGCGTTGTAGGTGCAGAGCATGAGGCAGTCTCCATGGCGTGTTGTCTGGACAGACGTGTCGTTTTTGTAATCCGAAAGGCGCCCTGAGTACCCTGACATCGTTCGTGCTATCACCCGGCGCCATAGGCGGGATCCGATGTGCAGACTTTTTGCTGATCGATTAATAAAAATTTTTCCCCCATAGCAGATTTACAAAGCCATTCTTGATTTTCACGGAGCGATCGCTGATCTCGGGCTCGGAGCGGGGAGCAGAACCTCCTAACAACCGAAAAACCAGGCGGCGGTGGGATCTGGCCTGGCCGGCTCTTAGCTAGGCATCCGGCCAAAACCGGAAACGTCGAACTCCTTCACAGCTTGGGAGGCCCTGCCAGAGTATAGGAGCGCAAAGATAATGGTAAGTAAAATTCTTGGCCAGAAACCAACAATTCTGAAGTTCTTTCACATTTTTGTTTCTTACTCTTCTATTGATAAGTAAGAGTTGCAAGTGTTATTGAACGGCGTACCGTAGCCATAAAGCAGCAAGTCCATAGTGTAAGGCAGCACTGGGCGGAGTTGTCGCCATTACACAGATTGTAAGGATTAATGGATAGAAACAATTAGTCTCACCACAGTATCCACGACACCAGGGCCATCATGTCCGAGCGCGAGCACAACGATATTTTGCGCTCGTTCCTGTCTAAGAACCGTCACGAGACCATCTAACGAATCCACGCTGTAATATCAATTTCGAAATAAATGCAGCAATATCAACGAAACTTACAAAGGCTCGTCCCTGGTCTTTTCGGGGATCGGTCGCTGTTCATTCTCTTGATCGTCTTCGTAATACTCTTCAATGTATTGACTAAAGTAGTCTTGAGATTGCTTGAATTTGCTTTTTTCTAATTTGTCACTTTCAGCAACTGAGTAAGGCCTTGACCTGGAAAAATGTGTGCGAGCTTTCATGGAAAGTCACACGACAAACTTACACTAAATGAGGTATCCCCAGAGCAAGCTGTGCAGAAACACTATATCGCGAAAGGATTGGCATGGATTGTGACGTCACGTATCCTCAAAGCAGTAACTCCAAGCAAGAACAACGAAAGTAAACATTGGAGTAAAGGATGTGCATGGGGCAATTCCAGCACACAAGGTCTAGAACTATAGTATAATCTTGCGAATTTCGTTGTGAATAAGCTGGATTTCGCGAAGAAATGAGCTCCTTGAGAGCCACATCCAGACAATTTCAAAGAAGAAGTCTTCCGTGAAGACTGACTGCCTCTCGTCCTAGCTTATGTCGAGCACGAGAAAGTCTTTGACAGCGTTGAACCAACAACATTTCTGTTCAACGCTAATTTAAGGAGTGGGCCCAGCTTACTTGAGAACGTTAACCTACTGTTACAAGGACTGTACAACAACGATGCAGCTATTCCATCACCCCTCAGATAATCGCCGGGGGCAGGCGGTGCGCAAACTCGCGCTTTTCTGCAGGCGGTCAGCAGAATTTTGGGGCGTGGCCAAACCTTCAGCGGGCGGTATTCCGCGTTCTGCCAGCGGGCAGCAATATTTCTGCGAGCGCTCGTCAAATAATATCTTCCAGCGAGCTCTGGCCAAACTTTCAGCAAGCGCTCGGACTCTTTTTAGGTATTTTCGGGCATACGTCGAGCGCAGGTAAGACTCTGTGTGGCAGAGGTGTCACCGTTGGTTTAATTACTCAAGTTTGAGGTACTTTCTCTCAGCGGAAAGTACCTGGGGGTTGCGCGGTCCTCCACAAAGGAACGTGCGGCTCCCGAAATTTTTGCATATTCTCGCGGAAAGTCCGCGAGAATGCGGCCACTGCGCCGCAGCTAATCCATAAAGAAACCGCGATTGTTCTTCAAGCTTTCGTCTTTAATTTCGCCAACTTTCTTCCAAATTTCTGCAAGCGGGCCGCAAAAAATCAACGAACTATTTTTCCGGTGCGCGCTTGCTCAAAATTCGCATGGCCGCCTGCCCCCGGCGGTTATCAGAGGTTGGTTTAATTACTCAAGTTTGAGGTACTTTCTCTCAGCGGAAAGTACCTGAGGGTTGAGCGGTCCTCCACAAAGGACCGTGCGGCCCTCGAAATTTTTGCATATTCTCGCGGAAAGTCCGCGAGAATGCGGCCACTGCGCCGCAGCTAATCCATAAAGAAACCGCGATTGTTCTTCAAGCTTTCGTCTTTAATTTCGCCAACTTTCTTCCAAATTTCTGCAAGCGGGCCGCAAAAAATCAAAGAACTATTTTTCCGGTGCCCGCCTGCCCATAAATCGCATCGCCGCTTGCCCCCGGCGATTATCTGAGCCCCTGACCATTGGGGTTCGACAAGGCGACACAATCTCGCGTGTGTGTTATACGTTCGATGAACATGGAGAACAACTTAAGGATAGCACTTAACAGGGGTGGCAGACTTTATGAACGATAGCACACGCTTAGGCAAGCGAGTGTCAATAAGGTGCGCACCGTTAGCCCCGCCTATCGCAAGATGGACGAGTTCTCTGCAAAACAGCTCTAGCACTGGTTCATGGCCTTGTTCCCTAGTAGAGAGAAAGCAACTTCTGATAGTGAGCCATAAGCTTGTTGCAAGCTGGGGTGAAGCTTGACTATTTACAGAATCTTGTTTTGACTTCTTGTTTCTTTTTTGCTAGTCAATGAACAGCCGATGTGTTGATAGTGAAATTCAAGAGATTTGCTGATTCACCTATGAATGACCGAGTGACTCCTGGATATTCAACTTTGAAGTGTGAAATCAATCTAGAACACCTCAGGCATGATTGTCTGAGTGACCTCATATCTTACGACTTCACACGCAATTGCGATTGAGTTACATATCGATTTATATTGAGAATAGCAGTTTTTAGAAGCAAAATAAAAGAATTTTGTCTGGAAAAGTTTGTGTGATAAGACCGCATATTTGCGAAACGAGTGATATCTGATTGTGCGAAACATTACCAAATGTAATGATGTACAAATTATTGAAATTAGTTTGCTTGAAACAAAACTCGCCTATAATGCTTGTTTTGAATTCTCGTCGCAATAAAAACTGTTTTAGCTATGATTAGGGTTTCAAAACTCACTTTTCCGATAAAAGAGATAATCGTGTTGGTCATTTCAGCAATGATAGTGATACTTCTCGACAAGCTGACTTCTTTTTGAACTGAACTTTTATTTTGAGATCTGTTGTTAAAACTGCAACCAACCGAAGAAGCATGAACAGGGTAAAGCGGGGGGTGCGGCACGCCGCAAGGGGGGGGGGGTCGTTAGGGGAGAGGAGATAGGTAGGGGGGGTCGTATCGACCCAAGGTCAAAAGCGGTTTCTAAGGGGAAATGACTGCAGCTAAGTTCTTAGATGTGCCACGCTGTTGAAATCCTGCAAAATTCAAGTTCAACGACACAAACTTGCAGATACCGTATGCCTACCTAACCTACCATACCTCTAACCAAGCATAATTGTCGTAATCTGCGTGTCGAATGACCCCTATGCGCCAAGTTTCAGCGAACTCTGAGGTCTCCGAGCAGTAAACAACCTTGTATAAAGCAGTAATTTGAAACATGATTAACTTCATCTTAACGGTGAGTAAGCTACCTCTTCTTGCACTCAATACAAAGCACTACTCCTTCTTTGTCCACCTTAGGAATCCCGCTTCAGAAGACCTCCAAACTATTGAATTAGAAGCCAACCAAAATCGCTTTTAGCTTTTGATCGCTGTGCTTTCACCAAATATTACTCAGAGCTAAGAAGACGAATCAGGCTCAAAACATCCCTATGGAATCTATGAGGTTTAGGCTATTGATTCATATAAATATTGTCCGCTAAAAATGTTTTTTGATATAGTTAATGGCCTGCGGCACCCCCCCCCCCTCAAAACCTGCGGCTGCCGCAGGTTTTGAGGGGGGGTGCCGCAGGCCACTAACTTACCTTCATATCGTTCAAACAGCTGCCTTTTTCATATCATCCTATAGATTCATCCTTCCTCTCTCCGTAGTAGCTGTTTCCCTTCGAACCTTTTTCTTTAGAAGGAAATACATATGGTTTTTGCGAACCATATGCTGGGAAGTGTGGCCAAAAAATATTGGGTTACGGTAGCGCTCGAAAGATTGTCAAAACACACAGAGGCGCGAGATACGCGCCTTTGAATCCCACTCTCGTTATGAACTGTGATGTTCTCGCTTTTTTCTCTATTTTCTCCCTCTCTTTCATCTCATACTCTCACTTTCTTTCTCTCGAGTTCGCTTTTCCGCTATTTCGCTTTCGTACTCTTTTCTCGTCGCTTCCGTTGTTTTTCGTGTTCGTTTTTTTCCGTTTTCGTTCCTGTTGCATCCTTTGCACTTTGTCTCTTGAACCGGCTTTTAACTTTTTCATTTCAGATGAAAGGATGAATGGTGAACAGTTGCAAGATTTTCTCACCGATTTATCGAAGACTAAAATTCGTCTTGGTGACCGAGACGACGTCGAAGTTACGAAGAAATTCTTGGTCGAATGGGCGCAAAACACTATGCTTTGCGCCAATTATATAACTGTTAACTATAGGTTTGTCTACGGTCATTATGTCCATGTTTTGCTAAAAGTAATTTTTATTTGATTAAGGAATGTAGATTTGGATTTCAGATTTTGATAAGGTGGCGGTGTCGGACTTCCTTATTCACTTTTTTGTTATTGCTAAACCTTACTGACAGTGACACCTACAACCTCTATAAGGTGAGTAATCATATAGCATTCGCCTTTTGTGTGATAAGCCTTACTGTGAACCTACGGTTGTACTGTATGCATTTTGTGTGTTTCTCTTAATCTTAATCTCTTTCCTTTCTCTTAGACTTTCTCTTAGACTCTTAATTGCCTACAAGCGACGCTTTTCGAGTCATCATTTATATCCACGCGCTCGCAGTTCCATGTCATTGATTCCAAAGAGAGTATGCGTAGTAGCCTCAAGGAGCAGAATTCACACTTTTTTCCATTTCACTAGTTTCTAGTGGTTTTGAAATTTGAGTTCTTATGCGCATTGCTTTGCTTGCAATAACTCATAATTAGCGGTATTTCAGATTTGCTGTCCGCACACGTTTATTGGCATATCTTGGACCAACTAAGTTTAAATGATGTGCAGTAATCAGGACTAAGGTGCGATGCTCGATGTTTTGTTGTCACAAAATTTCTACTAATAACTTTTAGCAGATATCCCCATTATCATGTTCAGATATCATCTTCAAGATGTGACTGTGGGCAAAATTTATTTGCCCTTTTTCGATTCAAAATCAAACACATGCAAATCACAATCATAAAGTCTGAAACAGTCGGAACCCGACCGAATGCTGCGAAAGAGACAGATCCAGTTGCCAAGTTCGAGATCATGGATAGTGCGCCTGTAAGAGGTGATAGGCCATTTCAAAATGTAAATCATTTCTTCGAGCTTTCTCTGTGCAGGCGAATCCAATCCAATACATATATTTTCTGTTTCTTGCTGGTCACGATCTAGCGCCTACAATGCGCGATGTGAGCAAGAAATTTTCTGTTCGATACCTGTTGAACTTGGTCCTAGTTGATGAGGAGGATCGACGGTACTTCAAGCAACAAGTGGGTTTTCCGAATTTTTCACTGTTATGTGGTGTTCAGGTTCTTCATTTTATTTGTACTTTTATGCTTGTCTAGTGAGGCAAAGTCATGTGTAGGCTTTAGCTTTGCTTAATATTTGCCAAACATCTTTACTGACGAGAGGGTTTACCCATCACAAAACTTCGGTGGGCTGCAAAGATTTAGCAGCATCTGGATTTTATGTACGCTGTTTCCATTTTGTATCATAGACGCGTATCTTTTCGTCTGTAAGGATAGTTAAAAAAAAACGGTGCTGTGATACTTAGGCTCCGACGAGACTGCGCTCAAAAGCCCAAAACCGCTCATATTTCTCTACATTCTCTTCACGTGTGAGGAGAGATGAGAAAGTGAAGTGAACTTAAAGAAATTTGGGCGCTTTTGAGCGAAGTCTGGCAGGAGCGTTAGAGTTTTCATACATAATGACAAACATTTAATGTCTTTCCCAAAGTTTTTCGCTGAGGACGACCTTAATTCACATCATAAAAGAGGGAACTGACTGTAGTTCAGCTGGGAAGTAGGACGCAGCCTGCTACTCATTTTCACCTACTTAGGTCTCATTTGGTGGGAACTGCTGACTAAGTTTTAAATTGTTTTATCTCCATTTTTGTGTCCATGCATTTCTCAAAAGTTGTTCGTTGCAGGAAGCTACGCTGTGGCGCAAGGCTGACAAACCAGTCAGAAAGACTTTGGAACCTGCAACTGTGGGCGGTAGTACTAATGGATTAGAAGACACTGCCAAGGCAAATGTTGCTGAAGATCATGCGAATGGCCGAGACGTGACTGCAGATGATGAACAGTGAAGCGGACATCTTTTTGCATTTATTTGTGTTTCCTTTCAACATTTCATATCGTTTTTCAAATTGAGACCGTGTTCTAACTCACGAAACTTTCAGTCACTTAACCATAATCGCGCTAGTTTCTACGAAAAACATGGGTTTATCTTAGCATTTGGAAAAAACTTTGAAACCATTTGTTACCGGTGTTCTTACTCTGTCATGTCTGATTGTAAAGTCACAACTGGTATGAGAAACAAAAGGTTTTGACAACTGGTCTGCTTATGGGGTGGAGGGAGGAGGGGGGGGGGGGGGTAGGTAATGGGGGTGGGGTCGTGCCGAGGTCCGGCCGAAGGGGGGGGGGTCGTATCCGGCGGTCGCGTGCCGCACCCCTCGCTTTACCCTGAGCATGAACGAAATATTAGAGAGTTTTCTAATGGTTGCAATGCATTCCTAAACTAATTAACAAGGGGGAGGAGCGATCAGCTCACCGCTCACGGTGCCCAGCGCTGGCGGCTGGCACATGCTATCTTATATATAAAGCTGAATGTCTGTTTGTTTGTCTGTCTGTCTGTATGTCTGTCTGTCCGTATGTCTGTCTGTCTGTACGTATGTTCCGAATAGAAAATTCCATTTCCGAACCGATCGGGACCAAACTTGGCACACATACACTTCGGGCCCCGGCGGGTGTCATAGGCTACTTTTCGTCATCGATCAATATCGATTTTATCGATTTTTTGCAAAATTTGAGCTACGGGGCTGGGAGTTGGCACAGGGGGGTAATGATCAGCATGCTCGATTACACCCCTCTGCCAAATTTCAGCCCCCTAGCTCAAATTTTGCAAAAAATCGATAAAATCGACATCGATCGATAACGAAAAGTGGACTGTGACACACGCCGGGGCCCGAAGTGTATGTGTGCCAAGTTTGGTCCGGATTGGTTAAGAAATGGAATTTTCTATTCAGAACTTACGGATAAGCCAGCTAGTCGTTCATAAAGTCATACACCCCTTGACAGGTGAATGAAGCCACCGACCAACTGACGGCCCGAGCTGAGAGCCCACCTGTTAGAGTCGACCGTTCTCCCAGCGCTATGTTACGCAGCCGAGACTTGGGCCGACATTGTAGCCACGCCGAAAGCTGTATGGACCACCTCCAGGGCGCTTGAGCACAGTTTTCTAAAGAATCCATCCCCTAACCAATTCAATCGGGAAGAAGTCCGACGCCAGCAACACTTGTCGAACTTTGCAGTACGGATAGAGTAGAATGCTCCATCTTCATGACCCAGCGGAATACGTTGCGAAAGCGAAGCATCGATGGGCCGGTAACATTATGAGAACAAAGACGACAGATGACACTAAGATAGTCTGAGTGAATTCCCCGCAAAGCAAAACATCTCTGAGGAAGACCTCAACGAGATGGGCAAATGTGTTGTGGAATAGACGGACTACCTGAGAAATCAGCTGGATACGATTCTTGCACCTAAAATGAGTGGACGCAGCAGCGAAGACAACCATGAAGATATGAAAGTTTGAAGCAGGCAGGGAATACCGTAAACTTCTTGCTGGTGCCCGTCATGTAAAGACAGGCCATCTAAGTATCAAAGTCTGAGTACGCATGATGCTCAGACTTTCGTTGCGTACCAGCGGCGTACCTAAATGGCTTTGCGTACCAGCGGAGTGCGATTAACGTACCAACGGCGTTCCTTAATGCGCCCTACCAGTGGCGTACCGTCTTTTGGCGAGCGGCGTTCCATCAACCCAAGCAAGCGAGCGGCGTCCCATCACATTACCCCACGCTGTAAGCGTAAGCCGTACCCGTATGGGATACGACGCAGTGGTTGGGCCGCCTCAGCATTTTAGTGGTTAGCTAACACTTCTCGGCACTTGACAAAGGAATAAGATTGAGTTGTTGTTCTTATTGAGTGACCTGATAACACCTCAGCTGGGTGTTGTAGGGGTGGCCCACAATCTCCGGATTTCGATTCAATGAAGTCCATCGATCGAAATAGCAGGAAATTTTGCGCTGATTTCGGCTTCATAAAATATGACGATATAGCAATTTTCAAACCAACTAATGCTGCAATTAGTACGTAATCAAAAATCGGGTGAACATGCGGTCCGAAGGCGTACCCTCTTGGCGTACCAGCGGCGTACCATTCTCCTGCCAGCGGAGTTCCACAGCGTATCAGCGGCGTGCGACTGCCCTACCAGCGGCGCTTGCGTGCTGCGCTCAGAGGACAGTCGAACGCCGCTGGTACGCAACGAAAGTCGGAGTGTCTTTCGTTGCCGGAAACACTTCCTTCTAAGGTCTCGGGAATACCTCAGCGATTTCAGGCGGGAATAGAGCTAATATAACCGATAAGATTACCTTCAGCATTCCCTGTATCTCCGATGAAGTTAGCACTGCGTTGAGACAGTGTCTGAGGAGATTAGAAAACTCTGCTGCAACCCCCTTGGAACCTAAATATTTTGGTCTGCAATCGTATATACGATCGCATCTTCACAAGGCCTATTTGCCTTGCAGGCACGGGCGGGTGCATGACGTCAAGGATCATCTGCCTAATCACCTGCGCGAGCCGCGTCGGCATGTACCTCATTGCGCGCTCTCTATGGCATCAAAGAGCGGCAGGGATAGTCACACACAACCACACCTCTAGGCACTCAAAGGCTGCTGAAGCACGCGGGAGAAGACTTAAGTTTTAGTGAAGACCTTAGCGCGTGAATCACAAACATCATTTGGCAAATGTTTGAACCCTTTTATATTCGCGCAAAAAGTTCACAAATAAATCGCAAGGAGGAGTGTCACCAGGGTCGAGCAAGAGGTGTGGCACGCAAGCGCCAGATACGAACCCCCACCCCCCCCCCCTTCCACCCATTTTCTGTCTCAATGCCCCCCCCCCATCTTCTCTTCCGTAGGCATGACATAAAGGCACCATGCATAATTAGGCACATATTCGTAATTACCATGTCCATTAACCACCTTGGGCCAAATTTTAGCAATCTGAGGATTTCTAACCACCATGGGCCAAATTTTAGCAAATTCTGAGGACTTCCAATACTGGACCACCCAAGTGAAGTGAGCACTTTCGAAGATGACTAACTTTAGTCGAAAGTGAATTAGCTAACTCTTTTTGTACTCGATACAAAGCCTACTCCCTGTTTTCCCATATCATGAATGCTGCTTCAGATAACCATCAAACTATGCATTATAAACAGGCCAGAAATTTCGTTTGTCCCATGTTTCGCTTCCAATGGCTGCGCTTTCACCAGCTTTTACTCAGAGCGAAGAAGATGAATCAGGCCCAAATTACTCCTATGAAAACCGCAAGACTCAGGCTATCAAACTTATATGTTTTGTTCGCTAAAATTTTTTTTGAAGGTAAGTTAATGGAGTGTGGCACAACCCAACCCCTAAAAAGCTATGGCGGCCACAGCTTTTTAGGGGTTGTGCCACCCTCATTAACTTACTTTCGAAGCATTCAAATCTCTGTCTTTTTTATATGGTTGCTACTGCTAAACCTTTTTCTCACATAGCAGGAATTCATTCAAAATTATTTCTTCTTGGGTAAGATATAGTCGCTTTTCCTTAGCTAAACAAATAAAAAGCACTGCAAAATGTTGGATTACGGTAATATGCTAAGTCCGCGCTACTACGTGCGAGGAAAGGCGGCAAGGACAAGTACGATAGCCTGATCCTACTAATTTTCACAAATGATTTGAACCTGATTGGTGTTCTCTACTGAGAAAAAAGCGAAAAATGGGACAAACGAGATTTTGGCTTGCTCTTAATTCCAGATTTTGAAGGTAAGTTGAAGTGAGAATCCTGATACGAGCGAAGAAGTAGTAGTATCTTGTAATGAGTTGAAAAAGAAATAGTTTACTCACCTTTGAAACGAAGTTAGCATGTCGAAATTGACCATCTCACTTGAGTGTCCCAATATGGGACCTTGAAATTCGCTGGAACTTGGCCCTCAGAGGTTATTTGACATGCTGTACGAAAATGGTGCTCTTATGCTTTCAGAATATTTTTAATATGCTAACTGTGCGTGTACGACGGTGGGCCAAAACATCAGTGCTGGCATTTCGTACAATGAGCCTATTAGACACCAGTGCTCACCTCTGCTTCGCAGAGGTTCGCACTGGCTCTACTATCCATGCCTTCTTCGTGATCGCATAATAATGACTTTGAAACTCACCGCGCGATGCTGAACATCACGAATGAATTGTAAACAATCATTCATTTTTAAAGCTTTTCCATGTAAGATTGGTAATTTTGGGAGAAAAAATTTTCCCGCAGAAAAACAAAAGCGATTTTGAATTGATTACTGAATTTATCTTGGCTTTATATTCGCCATAAGGATAAAGACCACCTTGGGCTACATATCTATTCAAAACTCCTCTCAATTTTTATAGTAAAAACTTGGCAAATCAACAACATGCTCAGTTACATCTTTTTAGGGCCAATTTTGTGTAAAAATAGACTTTTTGCTTACTTTCCAGCTGAAATCAATGTTTTTCGGATTTACTTGCTGAACGAATCCACGACTTTGCAAAAAGTCCAATTACCGACCTATTTTGGCGGGCCAAAAGTAGCGTGGATCCGTTTGACGCACAGTTTTCGATGGTTCCACTTACTGGATCGGCTTGTGATTTTGCATAGTTTACCTACACGCTGACAGGGTGCTATGACCAAAATTCTAGATCAAGACGCTGGCTGCAACTTTCTCTGTGAATTTCGTGACAGACAGATATACACACACACAGACAAACAGACAGACGCTTAGCGCTTTATTATAAGTCATGATTGTTCAATGACATAATGTCGCTAACATCACTATCACCTCGACAACGGCCTCCCCCCCCCCTCTTCTTGACCCCTCTATGACCCCCCAGCTGTGCGTTCCACACCCCACGCTTGAACCCTGGTGTCACCTCTTTTGACTCACGGGAGGCATATAAATAGCGTGACATATATGATCATTCAGTAGTGCTCGCTCAGGCACTGCATGCTACCGCCATTTTCAA